GTCCGAATGGAGAGGTTCGACTGTATTCTTGCAATAACCAGTTTCCGTGGAGAATGCCGTTTCAGGGGAATTTGATTCTAATGGTGAACATGGAAATTACCGGATACATGTAACAGGGTTACTGCCCGAGCAAATACGTAATATGTTCTATGTTACCTTGCAACAAGCCTGAGCACCAGTTCAATCTTCCTCGAAGGATCCACTTTGATTGGTTCAGCAGTCATGAACTGTTGTGTACTGTAGCCTTGTAATGTTGTCCCTCCAGCTCTCCAGGCTGGATCGGGTTCAACGACACGAGCGCTACCATATCCCTCGGTATCTGAATATATATAGCAAAGTAAACATCAATGCATTGAATAAAGTTGCCAAAAGTCGAAACTGACAGTGATTGTGTCGATTGGTGAAACGTTTTCAGAAGATATTCGGAGTGGCTGAATATTAATTTACACTCCACTTACTGCATCATTTTAAACCAAACTCGTTGACAAGAGAGGATAAAGGGTAGGTGAGTTTATCCCCCATATAGGAGAATGATTACAACAGTTGCCTCATTAGCATAAGCGATTTAGTTTCTGATGGAGATACAAAAACATTAGTTCTGAATATTGAAAGGGCACAACACGATTAACTCAGTCCCAAGGAATTTGAGCCCTATGTATTGAATACTTTTTGTGTATCCAGGTTTAAAAATTCAACATTTTACAAACAATGTATTCCTTGAGCTAATTAGCCCTTTTGCCACCCAGAAATTTTGTAGGTTTTGGAAGCCAATTTCCCCTCGAATATTACACCCAAAGAACCAAACTTTTCACCAACTACTAAGTTTCACAAGCTCTTTAAATGTTTGTATTCAATTCGTGTCTAGCGTGATGCCTTCTCTACGCAAAGTCAAATGTTAAGGAGAAAAAATGTAAACAATGACGTCAGCAAAGACTCGCCTATAGACCCTATTCCTTAGGCAATCCTTCTCATGTGGTATTCAGTCCTCCCATGGATTATGCTACAACGCACGTTCGTTAAAGGTTTTCGTGGAAGACGAGCATTTCCTAAGGAACCTGAATAAGAGAGGCTGTTCACCTCAGTAGAACCCGCGTCACAGTATTTCTAGACCCTTCTGGTATTTTTGACGCCGAAGTGATCTTAAAATATTTTGCGAGGGATTACCTTAGTAAGTCCTATATGGCGGATTAACTCTCTCTTCATCCTATCTTGCTTCAGAGCGATATAAGTCCACTTGGGGTCCACTTAAAACCAGTTAAAGTGGAACAACGTGAAAAACATGAAGGATCATCGAAATTATGTACAACTTTCATCTTTCTCGGCATTTCAAATATGTGAATATCTTTCATACTGATTCACTCGCAAAGTGGAACACTGCCGCATATTTTAGTACCTGTCCTTCGGTTCTGATTTTTTAACTTTAGGAGGCTGTAGTTTAGTCATGTAAGGTCGGATACAACTTTTGGTTGCAGTTTTTGAGATAAAAACTACTGGAAAAATTACACAGGCTTTAAGTCGTTAAATACTGTCTAAAGATATGGCCAAGAATAACAATGACAGCAAATCACTCACTGCTTGGAAGACAATTCAAAATTCTGTTTCCTGTAAACAGTAGAAACTACGTAAGTAGATAATCCATTACAGTACTAAAGCCCCTCCCCTCCCCCTTCTCCACACACATTAAGGGTATTTTACATGAGGAGTAACTTGGTTGTTTTGATATTATTTTTTCCATCAAATTATATTTAACAATTATTCCATGAGCGCGCGTTGG